TGGCGCCCGCTTTTTCGTGCATTTTCATTCATCAGCCTCACAATCGCGTTTGGTGACACATCGGGAAACGTACCAACTTTAGCGCGCCACGCCGTTGAACGTTGGGGAAGTGCGCAAAAGGCCTTGCAAGCGCCCTTGGCTTCCGGCACGAAGCAACGCGCGCTTTCGCAGATCCAAATGACGCGCACTTATCGAAATACCGCGATTTATGTGAGTGTGGTTGTTTTTGCCCGCGCGCAGGTTGGTTTGTTTTTTCCCGTTTCTCCGTTTTTTGCCGCCGGCTCCCGACTTTTTGTTTTCGTTGGCCCTTTTTGCGCGCGCGCTTTTCAGTCGAGCAGAAACCTGAGACGTGGTGAACCTGACTCGCGCCATGCCTCCTGCCCATGTTAAGGGGACTTGTGGCTCACCAGCCGGGCAAGTGATATGTGCCCGCCAGTGTGGCTAGAATCGGCCAGCACACGCCTGAGATGCGGAGAAACCGACGCACGCTCGCCGATATCATATCGACCTCGGACCAGCGGGGTCCGCAGCCGGCCCGCAGCTTTTTAGGCCGTGAGCTGGGTCGAGGAAGCCGTTCCAGCTGCGGCGCGGAAACAAGCAACGCAGGCAAGGAACAACTAAACAAAAACAAACATACGGGTACAGACATACAAGCAAGCAAAGAAACACACAAACAAGCAAACAAAACAAACAACATTAAAACAATCCAAAATCAAGCAACCACACAAACAAACAAACGCGCAAACCAACCAACCAACCAACCAACCAACCAACCAACCAACCAACCAACCAACCAGCCAGCCAGCCAGCCAGCCAGCCAGCCAGCCAGCCAGCCAGCCAGCCAGCCAGCCAGCCAGCCAGCCAGCCAACCAACCAACCAACCAACCAAAGCAACCAAAGCAACCAAGCAGCCGCCAAGCAACCAACCAACCAACCAACCAACCAACCAACCAACCAACCAACCAACCAACCAAGCAACCAAGCAAGCAAGCAAGCAAGCAAGAAAGCAAGCAAGCAAGCAAGCAAGCAAGCAAGCAAGCAAGCAAGCAAGCAAGCAAGCAAGCAAGCAAGCAAGCAAGCAAAGCAACCAAGCAACCAAGCAGCCGCCAAGCAACCAAGCAGCCGCCAAGCAACCAACCAGCCGCCAAGCAACCAACCAACCAACCAACCAACCAACCAACCAACCAACCAACCAACCAACCAAGCAAGCAACCAAGCAAGCAAGCAAGCAAGCAAGCAAGCAAGCAAAGCAAGCAAGCACGCAAACAAACTAGCCAACAATCAAACAATCAAACAATCAAACAAAAAAAGCAACCTACATACATACAAACATACAAACACACAAGCAAGCAAACAAGCAAACAAACGAAAAGGCAAACAAACAACCAGATCAAAAGAAACTCAAACAAAGCAACTACACAAACAAAGCAAGCAAGCAAGCAAGCAAGCAGGCAGGCAGGCAGGTAGGCAGGCAGGCAAGCAAGCAAGCAGGCAAACAAACAGATACACAAATAAACAATCAAGTAAACTACCAACAGCCCATGTGAGGGCGCTCAACTGACATACACACCAACGCGGCCAAGCAAAAAGTCTGGCTGAGAACTACAGGCAGCAGTTCTGAGCAATGGCAGCAGTTCTAAGCAATGCACATGGCTGGCTCGTCTTTTGTTGAGGCTCGGTACCTTTTCAACTTGAGTCGCCTGCGGGTTTCCCTGGTAAATGATTGAACCACCAGATAAACCAGGAATTGCAACCTCTGGTTTAAGCAAACTGCGCCTGCGATACCTCCGAGACCTGGTAGAGGAGTCTGCAGACAATCAATCGGGCGAACTTCGTACCAATCTTCCGAGGTGCGGATCTTCAACAACAAAACACAAAAATCCAACAAACAAACCCATGACTTTGTACAAACAAACAAACAAACAAACAAACAAACAAACAAACAAACAAACAAACAAACAAACAACAAACAACAAACAAAAATCCAACAAACAACAAACGAACACAAATACAACAAACAAACAACACCATGACTTTTTTGGAGAACCAAAACAACAAACACGCAATGCCCAGGTTCTCCAGATTTGAGAGGTTAGAATAAGTTGGTACCCCATGTTCTTCCCTTTTTCCTGTAGTCTATTTTAGTAGGGGAACCAAGGGTAAAAGGGTACTAATTACTGGAAAACCTAGTCAATTCAAGGTTGGGGTTCTCCCTTACCCTTGGCTTTTGTTTGATTCCTCAAGATTCTATTCCAGCGGCACGAATGAAACTTGCGGCTGTGGGGCACGGGAGACAAAAGACCACTTGGCACATATCAGGGTAAGCAAGGAGAGGAGGAGGAAGGAAAAGACCAAATGCAACAGGAGAAGGTTCAGGAAGCGGATGGCCACCGGCGGCTGGTTGCTCAGCTTCACACCAAAGAAAATCTGCGCGACGCCTCTCTGCGAATCTTGGCCATCTTGCCGTGCCGGCCACACGGCCTCGCAGGCGGAAGACGCGCGGCTGCGGTCGATGGAGGGCGTCTGCTTCGCCGAACATCTGCGGAACACCCGCAGAAGCTGCCGACTGCACACACCTTCGCCATAGAAAACACCCCATAGTGAGGCGGTGGACACAAACCGGCGCTTCCATCCGCACGCAAATCCGGCTCTGCGGCCTGGACGCTGCTTCGGCCAAGGGCCCGGGAAACCGGCGCATGTTCCCACGAGATTGCGACAGATTCGTCGGGCTGATCTTTCCTTGGACTTGCCACATCTTTGTGGGTGCGGTCAAGCACCAGTCAGTCCTTTTGTACTTTGTTTGCCTTCCGGAGATTGGCGTTTGACTCATTTCCGAATTGTTGCCCGTGCGCGACAAACACGCGCCGTCCCGTCCGCGGGACAAACTTTCGCCCAATCGCGCTCGCCGAGCATTCGCCACATTCCGTCCAAGCCGTCCAACGGGGCAACAAGACCTTACAAAATCATTTGGGTGATTCTTTTTTGAGGGGACCCTCCCCAACATGATGATTTTCCTATTGGCTTGCCCTTAAAGCAAGCCAAAAGGGGCTCCCCTTTTGAAACGACTAGCCAGCCATTGGAATCCGTAGCCCACCAAACAAAGGCGGCCCAGACCAGACTCGACGCCTTTTGTCTCCAGCCCATCCGCGCGCATTGATTCGCGCTCCTCGAAGCCATCGATCGCTGCGCGGCTTTCGCTCAGAACTTCAGGTGCCTGGCGGAAGAAAACGACGGGGGCGGGTCAAACTCTGAATGATGAGAACCCTGAATTACATTTTCCCACCCCAACACGAAATCCTGCACCACCTAAGCAACCGTGGAATGATGATTCCCCTGTAAGAACTAACAAGCAATGGTGTCCCGTGCAGGATTTCGTCCATCAACAGTAGGCCACACAAGTGAAGGATTCCGAAAGTACTTGAGTGACAGCCCCGATCAACCAGGGGGTGATTCATCCGGGATTAACATTAGTGGGCGGGGTTGGTGCGAGGAGGGGCGAGCACGATCAAGTGGGAGTGTCTGGATCCCACACTAAAGGGCTGCTTCCTTGCATTGTCTTTTGTTTTGACACCAATCGAGAGGGGAGTCCCCCATTTTGAGATGCCACCATGGTTGGGAAAGCTCTTGGGCACTTGAAAAACAAGACACTTGGGGGCACACAAGCATGGCCAGGCAACAAAATGCATCAATAAGTTTTCATGATGAAGCTGACTCAATTGAACATCCGACCACACGCACGCGTGCGATGATTGATCACGTTCCATCCTACCAGATTGGAAATGATTTCTAATGCTGGGGACGCACTGAAACCATCGCATCACCTTCAGACCACCTTTTTCATGAGTTGTGCAACTTGCGCAACGCACATCAGCTGTCGCCTCTACATCTGAGCCCGCGAAGTGTAGCCTTTGTACAGGCTGCGTGGCTTGCGCACCAGTGTGGGCAGTCTGTGGAGGATGTCCAGGGCCAACAGGAAAAACTAGAAAGCCAGAAAAAGGAAATACCGATTGCCAGTTGCTGTTTTTTCCATGTACTTTACCCCAAAAACAACAAACACCAGTGACTGAAACAAGCGATCGCAGCTTGGCTATCTAGGTATCAAGATCTGAGATCTGAGCCAAATGTTCATCATTGGATTTTGGTGAGTAACTTCCGTTTCCCTTGCAACTTGTTGAGAGTCACCAGCAGATGACTGTGAATTGACCATTGCTCACATTTCAGCCCAAGGCCCCTCCAAAGACCGACCTGGGCCTCATTTCTTTACGGCAGAGGAACAAGCCAGATAGGACACCTGACCATTGCAACTGCCCGCGCAGAAGGTACAGGTGCCACTTTCGTGGCATGTCTTTCTGGTCGGCACCCGAAATGGGGTTGTTTCAAAGGGAAACCAATCAAAACGAGACCACTTGAGGCGGTCCTCCTATCTTAAGACCATGTTGCAACCAAAGGGGGCAACAGTCAAAGTGACAAGAGCAAAGGAGCCAAGGCTCTTGGCCTGCTACTGATTGACTTTTCCCGTACTTTCAGTTCTACGCGAGCATGCTATCAGTTGAAGTTGTGCTGTGCTCATCAAAATGGAAAGCGGCAGTCTCACCGACACCAAATCCCGTGAGATACATACTACGCCATGCAGCTTCCAGCAAAGTCGACCCTTTGGTCGAGCTGGCAGAAGTCTGTCTGCTCTGAGGCCAGAGTGAGTCGTGTGTGTTCTCTTCTTGCCAGTCCCTGTGTCTTTTGAGGCTACCCGTTTGAGCTTGGTTTAATGGGAAATGAAAAGGACAACCTTCCATTTTCGGGGTCTCAACTCGCTTCGACACACACAGAAACATTGGCATGGCTCTCTTCAAACAAGGATGGCTCGATCCAGACCCTCCGTTTTCAAGTCCTCACCCAAACAAGTCCTCACCCCATGATTAGAGTTAGGCCCAGTTATAGAATGTATATTTTATTGTTTGCTTCACTTTGAGTCGCTGGTAAAATGCAACATCTATCCTGAGTCTACCCCCGACCCAAACAAGTCCTCGCTGGTCGCCGAGTTCAGCTCAGCTTGCAGCACGGCAGCCACACAAGCCACGAGCTCCGGTCGCGGGTCTCACGGCGGTGCTCATGGTCAACGCGCTGAGCCACGCGCGGAGCAACGCGCGGAGGCGCCGGCGGGGGCGCCGCCGGAGGCTCGCGCTCGCTTGGCCGGCGCTCCCGGCGTTTCTGGCGGATGAAACGGGCGGATGGGGTCTGAAAACTCGCGATCCGATTCTCAGTTGTTCAGTGACTTTTTGGGGAAGACAATTTGTAGTGGGGGCAGCCACCAAAAAAAAAGGGGGAAAAAGGGTGCCACTGAACAACCTCGAATTTGAACCCTGGGAACAGGGGGGAGTGGGGGCCGAACACTTGAAGTTGGGCCGACTTGGTTCAAAGATGAACCTCAACCAGCGGCTTATCCTCATTTGATTTGGGCTTTCCGTTGAACAAATAAGTGGGCAGAATCGAGATGGCGTGCCGAAATCCTTCAAGTGCAACACAAAATACCAGGGCCCGGAAATTTTGACAACCCCCCGGCGAAAGCATCTGCTGGCCGCTTCAACAAAAAGCATGCTAAACCCGGAAAGCCCACAAAAAGACGGAGAAAAATAAGAGGCTAGACTTTTGAGCCATAGCAATCCGAGAAACCCTAAACCCTAACAGCCCGCAATCACACGCCTCCATTCGCGCCCAATGCCTTAATTGCCCCCCCCCAACCTGAAGCGAGTCTCAGCTTGGTGTGCTGAAAGCGGTTTTTTTTTCAGGAATCGGACCCCAAGATGGCGCAAGGGTTTTCCTTTTGGCTTCCGTTTAAGACCAGGCCAAAAAGGGGTGCCGACGTGCCGACAAACAAAGAGATGAGCCACCCACATAAATCTTTGTTTGACCAACCGCCACTTAGAGGCTTTGTTGGTGTGGGGTCGACCCAATGGCAAGCGTGTCAGACCGCTGGCCAAATGTTGGAAGGGATGGCCCATCCACAGGGATCTGGCTGAAAACCATCCGAGGTGGCTAACAAAGGTTGCCTAGATAGCCAAGTTGCGATCGCAATTTCAGTCACTATTGCTGGGTTTTGGGGTAAAGTGAAAAAAAAGAAGAAGCAACTGGCGATCCAGCGGGTTTCTTTTGGGTGTCTCTCTACATGCCGATCTCAGACTTACTTCCGTGGACCAGCCAGGTGAAGCCAGCGCCTACCCCCCTCCTCAATCCCCCTTCAAAGGTCGCCAGAAAACAGCAGAACACGGCCCTCACAAAGACCACCCTGTCAAGTCAGAGTGATGGAATCCATCAGGGCTGTGGGAGTCGCACACTTCGGAGATACCGGGAAAACGGCAGCTTCAGACCAGCGGCGGTTCGCAGTTTGCGGCTTAAGCACACGAAAGGTGTACCCCCCCAAAAAAAAAACAATCCCCCTTGACGCCTCAGTTCCAAGGTTGATCCCCAGCAAAAACATGGGTCGTTGATGTTCAAGGGACCCTCCGGAAAAAACAAAAGGAACAAGGGGGACTGGGTGTCTGAGCAGACGATGTCTCCCGCGCCTTGGGCTGCTTTTGAGGAGTTTCGCCCACCTGGGCGAAAGGGACGAGCGAGTTTGCCCTTCAGGATTCGACGTCCGCGAGTATCCCCAAGCCAAAGTGAAACCAGCCGTCAAACTCGGCCGAGAAACTCGGGGTCTGTATCCCTGCGGTAAGCACCTCAACACCTCAAAGCAAAGCCATCTTTCACTGTCTCAGCTGGTATATCAAAAATTAAGAGCTGGGGTTACACAGGTGTTGGTCTTTGCTTCCGTCCAAGGGGCCTAAAAAAAGGATGCACTTTTTTGATCCACAGCCATAATATGGGTATGAGTTGGTTCTCGGTTGCTTTCTGCTCCCCTGCTACAAGTGACTAACTTTTAGTGGTGTAATACGGAAAACCCCATTAGTTGGCAAAAAGTCAAAGTCCTAACGTCCAAGAAAATTGAACCAAAGGGTATGTGGGTATACGGCAAAATCGGGGGAGGGGGGTGCTTGTCCGGTGAAACAAACCTGAAAGAGGTGTCAAACAACTCACACCCATTTTGTTCCCGGGCGAATAAAGTCCCTGATGTCGCACCCCCCCCCCAATTCCCCTTCTGACATCCTGTTGGGCTTTGTGTTTTGTGCCTCGTGCAGAACCGCCCAAAAATGGCTGAGACCGACCCCTTATGGGTACCCTTGACACAAGCCTGGCAAGGCAAACCTTGGGGCAATACGAATCTTGCCCAATGAAACGGGACAAAAATTGCTAACCCCCCCCCCCCTTCCCCCCAACAAAAACTCGTTGGCTTGCTAAATGGCTATGCCGTGTTGGTTTTCCTGTTGGCCTCCTCTATATGCCCAAAGGACCCAGAAATAAAAGTTGACAGTTTAGGGCCGTGACTAAAATGGATGAGCACTCGAAAACCAAAAGGTTAAAAGGTCGATTCGCTTTCGGCGACTGAGCTAAAAGAACACGTCCTTTAGTTTTTGCAAACCTTCCACTTGCTTAAGCCTCCTGGAAAAAACATGTCCAGCAGTGAAATCGATTCCCTTTAAAACCAACAAGGGGAAATCAACTTTCCCTCTTCAGCAGAACGAAAAACACAGCGACTGCTTTCGTCTGCAAGGCCTCGCCCCGGCACAGCAGGTGCAGAGCCAGCCCCGCGGCCAAAACCCAAAGCCTGGCGGCAGCTCCGTGGCATGGATCGAAGGAAGGTGGCTATAGCCTACTTTGCGTAAGTGGAGTTAGCCCAGTTGTAGTAAGTATGGATGTAGCATGCCAAGTGGTAACCTTCATTCACTGTGGCTTGGAACCGCTGTCCTACAAACCTGTACATTCGGGGGGGTCAAACAACCCTCACCATGGCTTCCCCACAAAGTATCCCAGAGGGTCCTCCAAAGTACCTTCTGGGGGTGGTTAGTTGCGCAAGTCGAGTTAGCCCAGATGTAAGTATAGATCATGAACACCCAAGTAGACGGGAGGTTAAAGGGAAGGAACCCCAGTTTCTGAGGTTCATACCCCCAAAAGCAGACCAAATAGCGGCAAAACATGCGGACACTCCACATCTACCAGGTCCCTCTAGTGTCCAAAAGGCCGCAGAGATGCAGTATGAAGGCAAACCTGCCTTTGTGAATGTAGGAAGACCCTGCCCTTGTTTTTTTGAGCTGTGCTTCTCTCTATGTGGGGTGTTTCTTTTTTTTGGGGGGGGGGAGAGGCTGTCTGGGTTGCTGGGTCAACTTGGATTTCTTCCAAGCTTGCAGCTGTAATCCGGGGCGAGGGATGCTTTTGGGTCTAAGGGAAGTTGTTTTGGGCCATACGTCCAAAAAAATGTCCGACCCCATTTTGCAGTAGGGAAAACCTGATCGTCCCCTGGAAAAGAAAACATCCGGTGATAGATTCCCCAAGCCAACAAGAGAAACTATTAGAAGTGGTGTGTGTGTGTGTGTGTAGGTTGAGGGAAGACCCAACAGATTTGGGGCAAGGGATTGTTTGGCTTGCGTTTTGACACCTGTTTTTCCTACAAGCAACCCCAAACAATTGTCCAGCGGCTTTGGCCTACGTGCAAACACTGACCTGTCACGGAAACCAGCTACAACATGTCGAAGCAGAACATGGGCCGAGCTCTCGCCAAACACTAGCAGGGTTTTGGTGGAATGTCCCTTTTAGCTGGCTGCTTATATGGGGGACGCTTTGGTGGACAACACTTTTGAGGTGGGGATTCATGCCAACACTTTTGAGGTGGCTCCCTATTAAAATTCACAGCCATATCTTTTGTCTTCCTAGGCTTGCCAAGGGCATTGCAGGAATCTCCATAGACCTCACGTTCCTTCGGCGACGCAAGATCGATCGCATTGGCTATGGCCCGCATCCATTGAAGGTTGGTGTCTTTGGTCTTTAGGGGAAAAGAAAAGCGTGCCCCTACGGGCCATATGGCGTCGAGCAACTTTTCTTTAGGAACTATGTGCTGCACACAGAGTTGTCATGTGATGTCTTGGCTACTGGTTTCCGGTGCTGTTGACCCCTCTGCAAAAAGCTTAATTTTCTGTGGGTTCAATGGAAAACCAACTTGACTTTCCCAATAAGCTAAAGTCCAAAGATCCAAGCTACTAGCAAACAGGATGTGAGCTGGATGGCCGTTTCTTCTAACCCGCTTGTGGCGTGAATCACATCCCTAAGGTCTGATCCCCTTTCATCGGGAGAACCCATGCAATTCGGGCGACCGATGGCCGCAACCATGGAAGTGGCACAAATTGCCAATTGCCCGAAAACAAGAAGCAGCGAAAAACCGGGTCACTGGATTTCCCCTTCAAAAGTTGCAATTTACTAGTGGTGTCAAACTGCCTCTTGGAGGTTTGGAAACACCAGCAGTCAAGCCGTGTTCCTCCAGTGTTAAGCAGTTCGGCGCCTGGAAAGACCCCCTTGAACATGGCAGTGAAGCTTGCCCGCTTAAAAAAAGTTCAGCGAGAAACTCTTTACAGGAAAACCACCCTGGAAAGGAAAGCAAGCAGAGGTCATGGTGAGAGACAAGATCACAAAAAGTGAGGAAGCCATTTTTGGGGCCTATTTTAAGACACACCCTTAAGTCACCAACCAGAATCACGGAATTCCCAATGAGGTCCTGCGGCTTCCTAGGCCGAATTGGTGGAATATGTGGAATCGCTCGTAGCGTTTCCCTTTTTGGGTGCCGTGGACACTTCGAGGAAATTTTGCAGACTCCACCCCCCAAAAAACCAAGCCCTGTACAGGTTGCAAATAAACTCATGTTCACCATTCCCTTTCCGTGAGTACGCGCGCACACGCGCAAACAAAATTTGGCACCGTGAACCGCAGGCACCACATCTCTGCGAGCGAGCGGCAACTGCGGGATCCACCACATCAGCGGCAGCGCAGCCCAAAGGGCAAGTCCTGCACAGCCATGAGGCTTGCCCTATCTTTTCCCGTTAGATATTAAGGGACCCCCGCCCAATTGGCGGAATTCAAGGTCAACCCCAAGAAACCTCTTTTCTTGCTGTTGGCATGTAAAGTCAACCCTACCCAACAAAATGAACAACAGGTGTCACTGGGCAGTGCTACTTGAGCCAGGAGGTATGCAATACCCACATTCGCCCAAGCTCAGCGCGACCTAGCTGCTCGATTGGCCATCTCCAGCCGACAAGCTGAATCCTTGTCCCAAAAACAGGCCCAGGTAGTCCCAACAGCAACCCGACCCGGAAGACTTCTGGAATTCGGCTTCCATGCAACGAGCCCTGAGGACATCGACCCCCAAAGAACCCCCGCCTCGACTCGCCGGCCACCGGCGTTCGCCCACCTTCCGCGGCGAAGCCGGCTTCGGCTTGGCCGAGGCGGTCAGCGCCGTGCCCGGGGCTTGCTGCGGCGGCCTGGTGGGAGCCGCGTCGTGACCACCGGGCGAAAGTTGATGGCGCAGTTGTGTGTCTATGGGTGTGGGTCAAAACCCTGTACCCCCGGTGAACATCTCAATCCCCACTAAAATAGGTTCTAAAATGAGTGGCGCACCTGCCCCAAAATGGTACCATTGGTTTTGACCCATGGCCATATGGGTGTGAGTTGTTGCTGAGGGACCCTCCGGTGCACATCATTTAGGTGGGGAGTTATGTCCACGAACCATTTGGGAGGGGGGTTCCATATGGGTAAGCCAAGGTCAGAACTTCACCAAAACTAGGGGGGGGTGTTGGGGAGAAACCGTGGCGAAGGAGGCGGTGTCCCCTCGATATAGACCCCCGAAAGTAATAAATATCCTTTGAAAAGGGGACTGTTCTCTGGTGGGCTCCCATGTTAGAGGGTGGGAGGCAACCAAACTAACCAAAGACGGACACCTGTAGAATAAAAAAAGTTGTTGTTTTTTTAGCCAGGTTTCACAAGTGGGCGAAAGGCCCCTGCTCATGTGTTGTTTTTTTCTTTAAACTACAAAACTTCAACTTGGTTTCATCTTTGATAAAGGGTCCCATTTTGCTCCTGAAGAATGAATATCAAATTGTAAACCATGTTGAACAACCGGCGGGTATTGAGGGAATGTGTAGTTGCTCCCTGTTGTTGCGTTGAGCAACTCTTCAGTTTACCTTGAGAGGATTGATGGGATATAAAAACACTAGACTAGCCACCACCCAGGAAACAGTGTCTAATCTCTTTTCATGGGTCGTCATGGTTCCCAAATGGCAGCCGTATCTTGTTTGCACCAGCCCAGTCTTTTGACCACACGTTTCCAAGGTCTCAAAAAAAAAAGCCCCAAGGGGAACCCTACGGGTGGCGTTCCCGTTCTGTTTCCCTTTAAAAGCCCAAAGGTGGTTCTCTCAACTTGTGGCGCCCTTTAGCGCATCAACACCACTTGGTCCTAACCTGAACCTAGCCAGCCATTTTTGAGGCACGACCTGAACCTAGCCACCGCCCATGCCCCTCCCCCTCGCCTCGCGTCCGGCGCCGCCTTCGGCGCGTCCGGTGTCGCCAGGCGCGCGGTCAGCGTGAGGCCGAACTCCGGGCTGCGGAGGAAGTCCTCGCAGCCGCGCCTCAGCTGCCGCGCGGCTCCGATCGCTGGATCGCGGCGTGGCTCCGGTCGGGTCCGAAGGGCACCGGCATCGAACGAGACCTCCAAAACGGGGATGGGGGGGGGGCTCCCTGTACTTTGAGGCCTTCGTCGAAATTCCTTTGGTCGTCATGGGAGCCATTTTTTGGGCGTGAATCAAGATTCCTTTTGGAGGTCATGGGGACCTCTTTGAGGCAGTGAATCAAGATTCCTTTGGTGGGCATAGGGACCCCGATTTGGTGCTAATAAAAAAACTGGTTGGACCCTTTGGTGGAGAGGATTCATGTCCACCACTCTTGAGGTTCACATTCAAAATCGTCGCACAATGGTAAGCGGGACAGGGGTGGTGACTTATGGTTGTATTCCGACCGTGACTGGTTGAACATCCAAGTACTCTCCTGCAGATCTGCAGATCATCTACTACAGTTTCAGTGGTCTCAAGTTCCCCGAAAAGGAGATTCCGAGATTCTCAGCATGACGGTTAGTGCCACAACAGGTTCCTCAACCTGCACTGAAGCGAACCTTCATGGATCGAATTGCTCAAGTATTACCACCTATCGGATCTCGAGCTGGTTTTCACGGCTGATTCACATGGAACCATGCGAGGAATCTCGGATTGTTCTTAAGGCTGTTCTTGCGAAAGCCAGGCGTTCCATGTGAGGAATTGGGCAAGATGATCAAGATGTGTTTATTTCTGTCCTACAGGCTCTTTGGAGGATATTGTTTTGTGCACTAAACCAGTTGCCCTTCTTTCTTGGCTGGCCTAAAACATCGCCTGCTTGCGATTTCTGTCCCAAAATGGTTCACCACCTTGCAGTTGAAAAGAGATCTCGAGCCCCAAGCCCCAAAAAAGGGGGTTCCTTCCGGTCATTTGTAGGAACCCCAAACACGATCGGGGCCCGAGAGACCTGTTCCGGGCCCGGGTCGACCATAGGTGTCCTTTTGGAAAATAGATGGCGCTGGTAGGTGATTGAACCACGAGAAAAACCAGGGCCCTCTGGTTTTTAAGCAATTCAACCAAAAAGGACACCTATGCTCGACAGCTTCAACACATCCCTTGGCAGTTTGGAGCGCCCGTGGCATTTGGGGTGACTCGAGCCCAGATCTAAGCTGAAAATCAGATTAGGAAGCCGACCGAAGAACCTTCACCTTGGGGACGAAACGTCGCAAACCAAACATGGCAAAGTTGGCCCAATTTTGAGGACAAGGGAGTGATGTCACCAAAAGGACACCAACCATTTGTGGGATCCAAATCCTATTTTAGGATTCACCCAGCACAAGCGGGCCCTTCCCCGCCATGCGCAGCTTCGTTTTGACGGAAGTTGTCCCCGAAAAGCGCCTTTCATGAATGGAGATGTGGTGTGTCTTTGTTTGTGGCACGGGGTCCCACATTGGCTTCGTCTTTCCCTTGTGGTTGCAACATCCATCACGACCAACCCCCGCCCTCAGCGGGGGTTGCTTGAAGAAGCCAAAGGGCAACCCCACCACCCATTTTGGAGGTGTGGAAACAAACCCTTCACGAGAAAATCTGTGGCTGTACGGTGGTTTCCACTGAGATCCAAACTGAACCGAGTGGAATGAATGGTGCCAAGAGGGGTCGAATGTCCGACCTGCCCTGCTCGACTTTTTCTGCCTCATGCTTCTTGCATCTATGCTCTTTTGAAAAGGAACACCCTCAAATTCCCGCCCAGGCACGGGTCGTGGCCGGCTGCCGGCTGCCAGTAAAGCTTCCTCCCCTCCTGTGCATTTTGAAACTTGACAGTTGAGATGAAGCGTGACACATGCAACGGCTGCAGCCATTCCGTTTGCGAGCACGAAACGGGCCAAACGGTGGATGTTCTTTTGCGCGGCTGCGGGCTGCTGTGTCACCGGAAAAAAAAAATGAAACCCGGTGGAGCGCTAGGTCGTGAGCTTGCTGCTGCACTGAATTCGGACGTCATTTCACTGCGTCACGAGATTTCCCTAGATAGAACCGCACCCTTTCAGTGATGTGAGAGAGCCAAACAATTCACACGCCCAGAACTTCTGACCCAGAACCGACGTATGAAATGCGCTTCAACATGGATGTGGCGTTCAACCATAGCCGATTTAAACCGAGCTTGAAGCATTTGGGCGGACGCTTTAGAACGCCTCGCACAGGGCTTTTTCATGGCGCCGGAAAAGCGAAAGCGGCGATGTGTTTGTGTGTGTGTGTGTGTCTTGTGCACGGCACCGCTCTTTAGGCACCCATCTTGACCGTGTGTTGTGAGAAGGAAACCAAAGAAACCACTTTGTTGGAGGCTCCAGCCGGATGAGGATGCAACATCTCAATTCTGAGACTCTTGACCCCAGCAAAAGTAAAAAAAGAGGTCGGTGGCTGGCAAGCAACACTGCTAGGTGCACCGCCGTGTGCTGTGCAGGTCCGCAGGCAGGAAATGGCCACACGAATTACTAGCATCACCTCCGTCATGAACATGCTTTCAGTTGACGAAGAAAAGCTGTCGCGGATGCGCCTAAATCAACTTCTGTTCTCGTCGAAAGAAGGTATGCGCGGCTTTCCGAAAACTAAACTCAGCCGACTTGATTTCCAATAGCAATCGTATTTTCGCCTTTATAATTATTTGCAGAAACCAGCACGAGTATTTCGAAGTTTAACTTCTGGCTGGACTCGAGCACCGTTTGGTTTCTTCTTCAAAATTTTACTGAAATGCAATCTGTCTCAATACAGCTAGCTGTCACGGATGCTTGTAAAAGAAATGGTCACACTAGCATCACCGCCGTTCCAGTCAACAAACATGTGCTTGTCGTGGACGTTCATTCTTGGACCGTCGTTCTTGTCAGCTGTAGGCTTTCCGTAAACAAATCCCCTTGTCTTGCGCCCGCAGTTCATTTTCCGCGGCCGCAGTGACCCAGCAGTGACCTCTCCAAAGGTTTGGAGCTCGGATCCCAAGCTTCTGATGTGGAGTTTGGTTTGATTTCCAGCCATCTAACCCTTCGCCACAAATCAACGCCCATCCCAGCAGAACCCCAAAAACGCCGCTAAGAAGAATGCAACTCATCACGGCCCTTGGGGAGCCGTTCGCCCTAATGTTAATATGGGAATGTTCCCCTTCAAAAGTGATATAAATCCCCACCAAAACTAGGGACACCCCATCGTAATGTACAGGGGTTGATTTGGATGTGGGTCAAAAGCCAAATCGTACCCCCCCAGTGAACATCCCAAATCCAACCACCAAGATAGGTAACCCAAAATGGGTGGTGAATTCACCCACCAAGATGGGATCCCGTTGAACGGTTGTGACCACCACCGCCGTTTCTCGGGGCTCCTGGCTCCAGGGCTGGCGGTTCTCCTCCATCTCCGCCAGCAGCCAGTGCCGCAGAGGCTCAGATGCCCAGCTCTCCACGTCCGCCGCCAAGGCATCGCCCGACTTCACAAAGACGATCCTCAGCAAAGGCGCGGCTAGGCGGCGATGTTTCACTGGAGAAAAGAAGATGCATCCGTTGAACACCTCTGCGGAAAATCACCAAGCTTTGTTAAAAGAGGACTCCACTAGCTGATGGGTGCAAGCGAAACCACCATTTTTTCCGGGTGACAGGAAAAGACCACCCCAACAACACAAAAAACACCAGGCCATGTCTTGTGGCCGAACCCGCACCTGCCGGTGACCGATTTCTTGTGCTTCCAAAGAACCGCCGCTGGCCTGGCGCCTTGCTGCCCAAAGGAGCCACAGACAGAGACTCACGCGCGAGGCTCTGGGCGGGGACCCGCTCTTGAGCATGCTGAAACAAAACACCACCAGCTTTACATGGAACCCGACGTTCGGAGTGCCTTTGAACGGAACATTGTCTTCCACCGACCCCCCAAACAAAAGGCACACGAATCACTCCCCTCTCTTACTTGATTTGAACAATTGACCCTTGGGAATCAACCAGCAACACAACAGCGCAGAACAAATTCAAAGCAGGAAAAGCCGTAGACAGAGAAAAACACCACACAACACCGCAAGGCACCGTCCCCAAAAACCCGAAACCGCCAGACTCTGCCTTCCAAGCGTCTTGCTGGCAGTTCCTTCGTTGAGCACCCGACGCACCGCAGAGTAGGTGCCAGAGAACACCGCGGGCGCGTCCACCAGCAGGCACCGGCTCAAGCCTCCGACCGGAGGTTGAACTCACTCGCGTAAGCCCCGTGAATTAGGTAATAGGCCTTGTTTCCGTTTACCAGAGCAACCCATTTTGGGATTACCCTATTTTTGACCCACAGCCATATTAGGTAATCAAGGGAACTGCCCTTCAACAACCAAAAGGAACATGGCTAGTTACCTACTATAAGGGTCACTGGGCATCCACTGGGAAGTACAGTCATAGAAACCAGCTGCAGAATATGTGCAGCAAAACTTGGCCAACACTCAAAAACAAATCGATTTTCCTGGACAACTTCCAGCTGGTTTCTTCGAACTTACCAAAATCCGCCGACCCTCTGCCTCCCGTCCGCCTCCTGCAGAGGGGACCGGCGTGAACTGGAAGTGATTGGAATCAATGATAGTCCCTGGACTGGAGGGCACGCCCGAAAGCACGGTCCCATCCTGGGACCAGTCCTGGGACTGGTCCTGGGACTGGTCCTGGGACCGCTTCGGATTACTTGCAGTCAGCCAAAACCGGTCCCGGTCTGGGACCAGTCCTGGGACCGGTCCTGGGACTGGTCCCACAACCGGTCCTGGAACCCGGCCAGGACCGCTTTCAGGACTGGTCCAAGCCAGTCCCAGGATCGAGTCCTGGTGTGACCGCTGGTATCGGATCCCACTTCAATCCGCTGCAGAAACCCGGTGCCACCTCAAACAGCTCCAGACACCTGTTTCCAGGGTCCCAAGTCCCAGTCCCTCCCTGCGACCGGTTGAGGGGCACCGACGGCCTTGTTTCTAGGACCAGCTCAACGCGACTTGGGCGCGAGCCGGCCCGTGCGGTCATTGACGGACGAGCTGCCGTCTGTCTGACTTTTCCGCTAATCCTTGTGGTAGTAGAGGATCCCTGGATCTAATCTGCAAGAGAGTCCAATATGTCGAGTCAAACCGCGCCAGACTCAGACCAGCCTGGACAGGGTCCCAAGTCCCGGTCCCTGGCGGCGACCGGTCCAGGGCCACTAGGGCCACTGTCGCCGGGGCGGGCCAGTTTCAGGGCGACCCGGGACAGGCGACTGCTCCCGGGCCAACTGGGCGCAAGCCTGCCCAAGCGGCAATTAACGGACTAGCTGCCATATTTCTGACTTTTCCGTTAATCCTTGTTTGTGGTCGTAGAAAATCTTATAAGTGGTCCCTGGGTTTGCGGACGTGTTTCAGGACCGGTCCTTGTGACTTTTCCCTTAATGCGCCGAGGGTCGGCGGCAGCAGGCGGGAGCCTGGTTAATACAAGGGAACGAATCCCCGTTGCCCTCCCCTTGCATGGGTTGAACCTCCTAGTCCATAATCCGTGGGTCATGGTAGCGAAGCGGCCCAAAACGCCGTTCACATATGTTACATGCTCTGTCCTTTATGGTAACAATGGAAGTGGAGGAGGCCCTCCTTGTGGTATTTCACATCCGCCTGTGCACAAGAGTCGTCAAACAACTTCCGGTGGAAATCCGTGTGTCTCACGCTCGGGGGGTTCCTCGTGTAAAGAAGTCACCCGAGTTCATTGGCCGAAACGCGCGTCATCTGAGGCTCCGCAAATGCCCAGAATTAAGACCTCGCATGGGAAAACAGGCTCGCACTGTTTTGGGGACCAAACCCATCGTTAAAGCGAAACACACACCCTCACATACATACACACACATCCAGCAGTTGCCAAGTTGGTCCTGGGGGGTCGCTGTGTTTGGAGGTGACTTGGCCCAGAAAATCTTGGCTCGTCTCACGCCCTTCTGCAGCCCAACTCCTAAAAAACCATTGCCTTGGGCGGCCAGCGAACCGATGACAAGAAAAGACATGGCCAGGGTCCTTGGCAACTATGTGAAGATGTGTACGCGCTGCCCCCAAACCACCAAGCCCCAACCACTTTCCTCAAACCACTAAAAACATCTGCCCCCCAAACCTCGAAGCTCTGCCGCAAACCACTCCCCCAAACCACTCCCCCAAATCCCCAACCCCAAACTTGTCCCTTTCCAAAAAAAAAAGACCTTTCCCGAAAAAAGCCTCTCCAAACCCCCCCCCCCCAAAAAAAAAAGGAAACGATCCCCAACCACTTCCCCAAACCTCAACCCGAAAAAACACCCAACCGCTGCCTCCCACCCAGCCACTGCCTCCCCCCAAACGTCGGCCACGACTCCGAGGCGCGCTCGGGGTAGTGCGCCAGCAGCCGCGCCGCGAAGAGGGCGGCCCGGGGGTCCGTGTCCAGCAGCCAGGAGTAGCCTACGGGCCACAGGACCCACACGGGGCCCTTGCCTTGTCGGGTGGAAGGGGTTTGAGTTTTGTGGAGTGTTCGGGTTTTTAGGGGTGTAGAGGGTTTCTAGGGTTTTGGGGTTTAAGGTTTTTTGGGGGGGGGTGTAGAGGTTTAGAGGGTTTTAGGGTCTTAGGGTTTGGGGTTTTGGGGGTCTTAAGTCAAACACCCTTTGAGAACAAAAAGAGTTGCCGTGTCCTTTTCTTAATGGATACCTTCTTTGAGTTGAACTGAGAAAAAAACTATATAGCTTTGAAAGGGGAACCTGTTTCGGGGAACACCGTTGCACCATGTTGGGGGGTCCGATTTCTTTAAAGAAAAAGGGCACGCCCTTTTTCTCGGGGAAGCCTTCCCGAAACCCTGCCAAAGAAGAAACCATATGCGTCTGCAAGCAGGGATAAGACCCTTTTCCGAAAGGTTCATGTTCACCACCGGTCAAGTGCCTGAAAAATCCTAGACCCCCAGTCAAACAACGGGCGCTTTTTTGGTAGTTGACTCTGAAGGGAACCCCATACAAAGGAGAAACAGGTCGCCACTGCAGCTCTGTGGCCTGTGGTAAAATGGAATTCCACCCCGCTGCTCATTTGAGTCGAAAGACAACTTGCCAGAGGCGGCAGAGGCACCCTTGTATGGCAAGGGCGTGGTCCCTTACATACCGCGGGTGTTGAGCCAGTGGCTCATGGGAGTCACAATCAAAACCCGGTATTACACTGGTCGATCCCCAGAACCATGTAAAGAATTTAGAAGGCGGCCGCGGCCATTTCTGGTTGGGATCGTCCCTTACTAACCTTCATCTACCCGGGTTTTGAGCCAGTGGCTCATGTGCCTTTTTGGTACGCCGGCAAGCTCCTCGGAGAGAAGCAGTGCTCATTTGAGTCGGGTGGGGGGTGGCATGGGTGACGAGGGGGTGGTGTCATTTTTGGTGAGGAGTCATTTGAATTTCGGGGGGAGGCGGATGATGCGCTCGGGAATTGTGAATCGAGGGCGAACATTGCCTGATTTGACTGGCCACTAGTTTCAAAGAGGAACCTCCTCAAACATTGCTCGTGGACATAAACCCCCACCCAAATAATGTCCACAGAGTCCATCCACAACTTCCTACCAAGCTTCTTGGGCCCCTTGCCACTGGCTCTGACTCCTTGGAAACCTGGTCCCATCCAAACGAAGCATTGATGATACCCTAGCTGGGGTTGATTCGAAACTGAGCGGTGCACCCACGAAGTCATTTGGAGACCCGAACACCCAACATCATATCACACCCCCGCAAAGCGAGTTCCACGCGATCGGTCAAAATGACCATCAGCTTCCCCCGGAGCACCTGCGAAAAACAAATGGACCATACCATACCCCGTACGTCCAGTTACCACTGTAGTAGGTAACCAGGAACCCTTACCCCTAGGCTTTACTTCCGATTCCGATGTTTGTCCTGGTTACCTGCCATAGCGGCTTGCCACGACTGCAAACTTCTCACGACCTGGAACTTCATGGCTCGAGCAGTTCCCGAAGGCTTGACTTTTGGTCCCAAGATGGTTGCTGTTTATAGCAGGCCTTACTCTATCCATGAGACCTGGTAGGCAGGAAACATACCGATTAGCATGGCCCTCGCTCAACAATGGCCATGGGAAAAGAAGAAATTGAAGAAGTCCCCCCTCCAAAGCACAAGTTGGGAAAGGTTCACGCAACCCACAAGGTGTCTGGCTTAACAAGGGTTCTAAACCCACTGACATTTGGCTCTAACGGTTACGACACGAGGAACCAACGGCTTTTTCATACGCTGTTTGGTGGTTGTGAAGGAGCACCCACTACTGCGCCGATTCACGATTTTGCGGGCCCCGGGGGTAAGAACAGACACACCCAAATGGCCTATGTGTCGAACTAGTGGAACCCCCAAAACTGGGCTTCGGCGTTCCCTTTGGTTGCCCTTTGAGCCAACCCCAAAAGGGTACCCTCGAAAACTTCCATTTGGTTGTAAAACCCCTGGAAAAAGTACAAACATTTCCAGTAGTGATACGTTCCTTTTAAACCCATCAAGGGGAAATCCTATTCTTTTCAGCAGATGGCAGAAACAGGACACGCCCCTAAGCCAAAGGGCCAAAGAAGTCGATGACGAGAATCCAGTTCTCCGCGACTGGCGCGACGAAGTTTGTCGGTTTGGTTTATTTTTAAAACCAGCAAAAAAGGGGTACCGTCAAAAAAACGACAGACGCCCATTTTGCTGAAGAAAACGACCTTTTGGAAACCAAAAGGAACATGGCTGATGGCCAGACTGGCTTACCGGGGATCCATTGTGATCGGTTTCAACCAGACTGGTCTCCTTAGAAGGAACCAAACGGCGGTCGTTTCACGAACCAACATCCTCTTTTTTTGCGAAACGTGGAACCAAAGGAGGCTTCCCGGCTACGGCAAAGCTCTTCCGGCTCCCGACCGGAAGCTCCACAGCATGTGCCGCTTCCTGATTTAGATATAAAGATGTTGAGCGAGTGTTTCTCTTTGTTGGAGGCTCCGAGCAGGCCTGCGTGCCTTTGAAAACACAAGATTGCCTCCTGTTTGTGCCCCCCAATCTGCGGCAATGTGCGAAGCATGGAGGCCATCTCTTGTTTTCCCGAACAAATACCCAGAGTAGCTCGCAGCAATTACAAAACTAAGGAGTTCAAGTCAAGAAATGAAACATGAACCCTTGAGAACGGGTGTGTCATGTTCCGTGTTCGTTTCGTTAAAATTTGGATGGGCATAACGCGTTTCTGAAACAAGGAAGCAGCATGAACACAGACAAAACAATGCGAACGATTTGTCATTCCCAAACTATGAACAGCTTTCTGCTATTTGGCGGTTGGATTTGTATTTTGCAACATAAGGTGGGGAACCGCCATGAACCCTCTCCAACCACCAAGGATTCAAGTCCCCAACCCACCAATCCAGTCGGACCCTTCACGTTGCCCTTCAGACCTCGGAAGATCTGGCGTCAACTTTTCTATCTGAAGGAAACTCCCAGAATATCCAGCGCCCACTTCTCAGAGTTTCACTTCCGAAGGGAAACTTAGGTCCTCCAGTACAGAGGTTAGAGTAAGGGTACCAACTTTTTTTCAGGACGTCTATTTTAGTAGGGGAACCGAATCTCCCAACCAAAAAAAGAAACGGTAAAAAAGGGCACCAATCGCTGGGGGACCTAGTTTCAGAGAACTTCACTCTCGCAGGGAAACTCATCAGAACAAAAACATGCTGATCCCCGGCTTGTGGAGGTGATCTCCTTATCAGGAAGCGCCCGAAGAAACCTAAACCTACTGTGGATGGTTGCGAAATCCAGAAATCGCATCACCTAAGAAACCCTGGTTTCTGATGTTTCCCCTGAGCATACCAACAAACAATGGTTTCAACCATGGTTTCAAAGTGGTGCGAAATGGATTTCGCAACCATCCACAGTACCAACAGAACAAAGGTGAAGCTCCCCAAGTCAAGGGATGCATTTTGATTTGCATCAGGTGCCACAAGAAAACTACCAGTCATGAGGAAGTCTACTATCATCGAAAAGACAAATTATATGCAATCATCTCAGGCAAGTAGAATATGATAAAATTATATCTTCCCACCTCAGGTGGCTTTGTCTTCTTTGCAGGCAGGTTTTGTGGGGTAGCTTTCAAGCGAAACTGGCAATTTTGGGGTGTCCATCTCCTTTCGTGGTCCAAGCTTGATGCCGAAAACCGAATTGCTTCAACCCCTTCATTCAGGGATCCTTACATTATACACCCAAAACATTGCCTTGTAAATGGTGGTGTCCCTTTATTTTGGCGGAAAATGCCATGTTTCAAATGGTTGCAAAATGTATCTTTTCAGGAGCCCTGCCCTTGTGTGCGCTCTGCTTGCGCACGTCGGCGCTTTTTTTTCCTCCAGCCGACTCAAGCGCTCTCCAGCTGGCGCCGCACCGCCGTCTCCTTGCCACTGCCGTCCGTGAGAGACACCTCCGCTGCGAAGGGCGGCTGAAGGCTGCGCTCGAATGTTCAACTGAGACCGTTTGGTTTCACTTGCTCACCACGGCCCGAAGTGAGTCGACCTGAACTGTCCTCCAGCAGAGAGGTTAGCAACTTTTTCTCTAGTCTATTTTAGTAGGGGAACCCTTCCCCAAAAAAGGGTAAAGGAACACTACTGGGGGACCCAGCCAAACTGGGTCAACCTGAAATAGCCTTGTGGTTTTGGTTTTGTGTATTTGCCAAGGTCCAAACGGTTGGCCCTTTCACTTCTGGGTCCGCACTAGGCAACTGAGGGTGGCTTGTATTTTTGTCTGGGACGTGGAAATGGAATGAGTTTCCTGAACAGCAGAATAGTGGTCAAAGGGGACATAGGGAACCCAGCTGTAAGGTTCGTAGAGATTGTCATCAGACAAGGCATTTTCTACAAAGACAGGGTTTCCTTTGCGCGGCCAGAGGCCAATTTTGTTTTCGGGTCTCAAACCAGAGCCCCTTTCAACACGGAGGTGGTTGCTTTGAGGTTACCTTCTTGGTGTGGTTTGATTGACCAGGAACCCAAAGGAGGTTGTGTCTCACTCCCTATTTCTCATATTTTGGCCGCTGGTTCTACCTGGTTTTATCCGGGCTTAAGGTGAGGGTTGTTTACACATTGGCGAGAGTTGCTGCACATTTGCTGCGATACTTGTAGACTTGTAAGGGCAAAATATTGTACGGCTGGCTCCACACTGCTTGGTCCATGCAGTGGCCGGTCGATTGGCACAAAAGCGGGTGCTCCTGCTCCCGCCCGATGAATGAGGTCCGGAGCGAAGGCGCGTGCTTTGAGAGCACCGCCTCGTTTTATTATTCTTTTCCCCAGCCATCCTCTACCGGACCTCGGCTCTAAGTGAATCGGCTGGGCTTCAAAGCCTCCTGGTAGGCTCCCGATGGGTCTTAGGGGTTGAACCACTGAACCCTGGAGTTATGGTTGGCTTGGATGTTAAGGTAGGTTACAACCATGGTAACCAGAACCCTTTGGCCCCAGTTGCCCTTCTGACCATGGTCGTAACCTGCTCACGCATTAAGTGACGTGCTGTTGAAATAATGTTGACCCAGGATTAATAAACCCGTCCCACTATTAGGGGGGTGTTCCCTCCAAAAGTGGTCTGAATCCAACCACTAAAAGGGGACACCCCCCAATCAAAATCAACCCTGGGTTCCCCCCAAAAAAAATCCTCCCACCAACGAGTTGGGGTCCTCTAACGACAAAAACGGAACCCATCCCCAGACTCAAAACACCCAACAATGCGAGCGAGCCGCGCATTGGCCAAGCGAAAACCGCGAAACTTCCATTTGCGTTTTCGCCCCCTGGAAAAAATAAAACAACATATTTCCAGTAGTGATCAAGTCCCTCCAAAATCAACAAGGGCAAAAAAAAATAGGGTTGATGAAAATTGCTGGGCCCCATGTCCCGTTTAGTGGGAAATATCAGCAAATGTGTAGTGGCTTTCCAACCAATGGTCTATAAAAAAGACCTTTTGATCAACCCGCGAAGAGTCGCTTCAGCCAATGAATACAAAAAACCGCCTCCAGCCACCAGGGAGGCCCATCCGCTGCTGCGAGCCCAAAGCTCCGCTGCAGCGCCGGCAACGCCTCCAGCGCGAGTGAGAGCCAGCCAGTGGACGGACGAAATCCTGCACTCAGAAACCATAGGAAACCCATTGTTTCTTGGTAGTTGCAGGGGGGATTCTTTCTCTTTCCATGGTTTCGTAGGTGGTGCGAAATGGATTTCGCCCATCCACGGGCAAACGTCTTTTTGTGGACAAATAGAGGGGGTTCCCGGGCAAATGGATGGCATACAACCCATCTACAGAAAGGACACCTGCGGCGAGTGGCTCCAAACTAAACTCACCTTGAAAAGATGAAACTTCCCGTGGAACCCAGCAATTCTCAACCCAAGCGAACCGATCAAAAGGACCCCCAAAGGGCTCCGACCCCATAAGCCCCCGACCCGGATCCCCAGGAAAAAGCCACGGGGCCGTAGGATAGGTTGGGCGTCCAAAAGTGGATCAAAAAAGGTTCTCGTGTTCCCCCCCGAAAAACATAAAGTAAATTAAATAAGCTCGGGCGATATCCCCAACAGCACCACACCCTCCCAGAATCGCCCGGGACCATCCTTACCGCCGGTGTTGCTGAGGATGCCCCCTTGTAAAGCAAAGCTACGAGTGACAGCGCAAGCTCGCCCTGATCGGGGCCCGACGGTGCAATCGGGGCCCGACGGTGCAATCGGGGCCCGATCGGGGCCCGACGGCGCAATCGGGCCCCGATCGTCCCGTGGTGCAACCCCAGCCACCCATATTATAGCTCAACGCCGGTTTTCCTTAGCATGCGGTATAGCAAAACTAGGCGACGCCAGCTGGGCCCGACTGAGTCAGCCCTATCGGGGCCCGACGGCGCAATCGGAGCCCGATCAGGCCCCGTCGGGCCCGATCGGGGCCCGACGGTGCAATCGGGCCCCGACCGTCCCGTGGCGCAACCCCAGCCACCCATTCTCAACGCCGGTTTCCTTAGTATGCGAATTGCAACTGTATCTATAGCAAAACAAGGCGATGCCAGCTTGGTACAATTGACGGGGCCCGACTGAGTCGGGCCCCGATCGGGGCGCGATGGCGCAATCGGGGCCGATCGGGCCCAAGCGGTGCAATCGGGCAGGCCCCGACAGTGCAATCGGGCCACCTAGGCCCGGTGAACCTCGCAAACCGTTCTCACGCAACTTTCGTGGAGCTCAGCGTGAATTCTTTGCTGGAACCTTTGCTCAGGGCTGCCCCATAGCTTTTGCATAATTTTGTGGAAACCTTCTGACCTCATAGCCCTCGCAGCCTCGTGGAATTCTTGGAACCCAAAGCCCACCAAGCAGCAATTCCAAGCATTTACTCTGCTGCACCGTGAGTTCCGCAGCGACGTGATCTGATTTGCCACAAAGCCAACATTTGCCTGAGCAAGTGAGCAAGTCACAAAACAGTGAAAGTGTGCTAAAAACCATTGATTTCGGTTTTGCTTAGTGTTCCGCCCATGAGCAAAGCGATCTTGATCCGATGGCTTTTCAGACGACGGGCGCACGACACACCCTTGGTGGAGCATTGGAGCCTTGTGGAACCCGTGTGGAAAACTTGCAGAGCTTTGTGGAACC